TCGGACAAAAGGCCGACGAGCCTCTGTTTAACCCGCACACAAATTACAACTGCAATAAATGTAATGAACTGTAATAGAGAAATGCTCGTAAAATAAGTTAAAAGGGACTTGCAAGTCCGTCAACATTGTGGGCCTGCGAGCCCGACTAAAAGTTACTGTTTTTGATATATTCCAAATGCCTTCATATCCTTTGATAACTCACCTTGGAGACCTGCGAGTCTTCGAATCTTGACTAACCGATAAAAATAAAAATTATATTCACAAAAAAAAAAGAAAAACTCCAGCATTACATGAAAAGAGTGCAAGCAAATAGGGACTGACATGGTTTGACTGTTTGTTTGTTTTTTAGCCCTCTCTCCCTCACCCCATCTAGTAGTGCTTCCTTCCCCTATGAATTACCAAATGTATGAGATGCCTAGGTCTATGGGGTTGAAGTTTTAAGATACATTGTGAATTGGATATAGTTATTAATAGTCACTAAGGAATAAATAATTATAATGGGAACTGGTGCCATAAGAAATTAAATATCACAGATAGCACTTAAAGAGAGGTGGAAGGGTAAAAAAAAAGTTATAGGTCACTCTAATTAAAAACACTTAAATCTTTTTGGTACTGTTACACTTTAATTTAAATTCTGGGAATCGGTTTACAAAAGAACTAAATATAAACAATTAGAGTTGAGCGGACACCTGGATGTTCAGGTTTGCCGAGTTCGGCTGAACTTCATCAAAAAGTTCGAGTTCGGGCTCGAACTTGACCCCGAACCCGAACCCCACTAAAATGCCTCTAAAAATGTCCTGGAAAGGGCTAGAGGGCTAGAGGGCTGCAAAAGTAAGTAAAATGGGGGTAAGAGTAGGACAAGTGCGCTGCAAACAAATGTGGATAGGGAAATCACTTAAAATAACATAAAATACATAAAAATAAAAAATACAGCTGAGCCATAAAATAGCACTAGATGGAATCTTTGATTTTAGCTTTGGAAAAACATAATTCAAGATCTAAAGCATGGCTGTCAGGAAGATCACCAGAATTATCCATTTGAGAGAGGGTTGGAATGCAGGGTATTCTCTTTCATTGTTCAAACTGAGCTCAACTCCTGATGCATGGAGAAAAGGTCTTCACAAGCCTCTGCTATTGTGTACATAGTTTATACTAAGTGACCCATAGGCTGAGGAGGCGGTGACCGTGGCGGTGTAGGTGGAAGCGTCGGAGGAGGTAGCCAACACTGTTTTTTATTTGTTTTTGTTTTTAATTGGGGTAGCCCCCAAAATATTGGGACATTTAGAAAAAGAAACATTTGCGGCCTGCGGTGCATTTCTTGCAGTCCAATAACGCCATCAGGTTTTTAAAACTGTCCAGAATTACAGCATTTCAAAGGCCAGGAATTTTGAAATGCTGGCATTCAGGGCCAGGGATCGCAGGTGGGTAGGGGGATACTTCCTCTTTCTCTCAAGTGTTGGGAGATGGACAGCTGAACGCTTCCATGGGACAGTGTGGAGACGCTGGACAATTGTGTACCTGGCCTATGCTGGTGCAGGAACCCACCCTCCGAGCCACTTGTGAATGACTGGCCTGATAACTGTGGAAATAACCCCTCTTCCTCCTGTGCCACATCCTCTTCCATTATCGCCCAAAGCGTTTTTTCAAGGAGACATAGAAGCAGGATAGTAAGGCTGAGAACGGCGTCATCGGCACTGGCCATGTTGGTGGAGTACTCGAAACAGCGCAACATGGCACACAGGTCTCGCATGGAGGCCCACTCATTGGTGGTGAAGTGGTGCTGTTCCGCAGAGCGACTGACCCGTGTGTTGCAGCTGAAACTCCACTATCGCCTGCTGCTGCTCGCACAGTCTCTCCAGCTTGTGCAAGGTGGAGTTCCAACTTGTGGGCACATCGCATGTAAGGCAGTGAGCGGGATGGCCAAAGATACGCTGCAGTGCAGACAGGCGAGCAGCAGCAGGGTGAGAACGCCGAAAGTGTGCACAGATGGCCCGTACTTTCTGCAGCAGCTCTGATATATCTGGGTAGTTTTTCAGGAATTTCTGCACCACCAAATTCAGCACATGCGCCAGGCAAGGGATGTGCGTCAAACCGGCTAGGCCCAGAGCTGCTACGAGATTTTGCCCATTATCGCACACCACCAGGCCGGGCTTGAGGCTCAGGGGCAACAACCACTCTATTGTTCCATGCCTGTCCACAGCTCCTGCGCGGTGTGGGGTTTTCCCCCAAAACATATGAGTTTTAAAACAGCCTGCTGTCATTTCCCCCTGGCTGTGCTGAAGTTGGTGGTGAAGGTGTTACGCTGACCGGATGAGGAGGTGGTAGAGGAGGAGGAAGCGGAGTAGGAGGAGGAGGCAACAGGAGGCAAAGCTGTGTACCCAAATAAAGATTGTCAAATGTTGTATCCTGGAACTGTGTCCCATACAGTTACTGGGGAAATGGGTTTGACCTATTCTAATCAAAGGGGATAACCATCGGTTACCCAGGTCCCACTTCAATTGGTGGCAAGTGGCGGGATCCCATGTCCCTGCCAACAGACCCATGGACTACAGTGCTCTAAAGCGACCTACACTGCAGGACTTGTGTGGAGCCAGAGGAATAATGCCTGGTGGGAGAAACAAGGCCAAATTGACTGCTGCGCTTATGGAGGACGACCAGGCACGCCGTGAGGCAATGAACCCCAGCCAGGGGCCGGAGATGAGGAAGCGACTGGGTCACCAGCAAACAAGTGGGGAAGGCAGATCAGAGACTATCCCTTTATTACACAAATCCTCCTGGCCCGGTATACGGTCACCCCCGAGCATTACCGACGAAAGTTTAGGGAGACCCGGAAAGGGGAGGACTCCCATTCAGAGTGGGCATGACGCATTTTTCAGGGGGCGGCAAAAAACGCCACCCCCAAATGCCCAGGGCAAATGCCTTGTTAGCCTCGCGGCTAACTGACATGCCGAGCGGGCGGCGCTGGGCTGAAGGGCGGCTGGCGAGGGAGCTCTTACTCTGAGCTGTCCGCTCAGCTCCCTCGCGCGCCGCAGAGTGAGGCTGGGAGCCGGAATATGACGTCATCAACCCGGCTCCCAGCCTCACTCTGCGGCGCGCGAGGGAGCTGAGCGGACAGCTCAGAGTAAGAGCTCCCTCGCCAGCCGCCCTCCCAGCCCAGCGCCGCCCGCAGCCACTGGACCACCAGGGAGAAAGAGACCCCCCCCCCCAGCATTCCCAAAGGTAAGGGTGGGGGGTAAATAAAAAAAATGTGTTAGTGTGAGTGTGTGTGTCTGACTGTGTGAGTGTGTCTGCTAGTGTGTGTCTGCTAGTGAGTTAGTGTGTGTCTGTTAGTGTATGTCTGACTGTGTGTGTCTGTTAGTGTGTATGTGTGTGTCTGACTGTGTGTGTCTGTTAGTGTGTATGTGTGTGTCTGACTGTGTGTCTGTTAGTGTGTATGTGTGTGTCTGACTGTGTGTGTCTGTCAGTGTGTGTGTGTCTGTTAATGTGTGTGTGTGTGTCTGACAGTTTGTGTCTGTGTGTATATGTGTGTCTGACTGTGTGTGTGTGTGTCTGTTAGTGTGTGTGTCTGACTGTGTGTCTGTATGTCTGTTAGTGTGTGTGTGTGTGTCTGACTGTGTGTGTCTGTTAGTGTGTATGTGTGTGTCTGACTGTGTGTGTCTGTTAGTGAGTATGTGTGTGTCTGACTGTGTGTGTGTGTCTGTCAGTTTGTGTGTGTCTGTTAGTGTGTGTGTGTGTGTCTGACAGTTTGTGTCTGTTAGTGTGTATGTGTGTGTCTGACTGTGTGTATGTTTGTGTCTGACTGTGTGTGTCTGTTAGTGTGTGTGTGTGTCTGTTAGTGTGTGTGTCTGACTGTGTCTGTTAGTGTGTGTGTGTCTGACAGTTTGTGTCTGTTAGTGTGTGTGTGTCTGACTGTGTGTATGTGTGTGTGTTAGTGTGTCTGTTAATGTGTGTGTGTCTGTTAGTGTGTGTGTGTGTCAGTGTGTGTGTCTGTGTGTCTGTTAGTGTGTGTCTGTTAGTGTGTGTGTGTGTGTCTGTTAGAGTGAGTGTGTGTGTCTGTTAGTGAGTGTGTGTGTGTCTGTTAGTGAGTGTGGGTGTCTGTTAGTGTGTGTATGCATATCTGTCAGTGAATGTGTGTGTGTGTGTATTTAGAAGGCGGGGGGAAGGGTTGGGGGGGCTGCTGCAGGGGGGGAAAGAGGGGTTGCCACTGATCACAAGGGCCACCCAGAACTGGCTCAACTCCCATCAAGCCAAGTTCCCGGAGGAGATCACCCAGCTCGTCATGCTAGAGCACTTTTTCAATGGGCTCCCCAACGAAACGGCTCCAAGAAGTATTGGTATGAGCTGCTGAAGCTAGCTCACGATATCCCCTTGGCAGGGCATTTAGGCAGGAGCTGGACAGCGTCTTGGCTCACCCAAAGCTTCTTCTGGCCAGGCATCTCTCAGGATCTGAGGCAGTACTGCCAGATGTCTGCCAGAGAGTGGGGAAGAGAAGGGACCGGCACAGGGCCCCCCTCCATCCCCTACCTATCAGTGAAGATCCGTTTGGCAGAGTAACTGTTGACATTATAGGTCCCCTAGCCAAGCCTAATCCCTCTGGGAAGAAGTACATTCTGACCATCGTGGACTACATGACTCCCTACCCTGAGCAGTATTCGGGCAGAGACTGTGGCTGAAGCCTTGATGCGAGTGTTCTCCCGGATGGGTTTTCCCCGGTAGATTCTCTCAGACTAGTGCACCCAGTTTACTGCCAAAATGACCCACCAACTGTGGAGATTGTGCACATTAAACCAATCCTGAGCTCCCCTTACCACCCACAGACCAATGGCCTGTGTGAGCGCTACAACGGTACGTTGAAGCAAATGCTCCGTACCTTTGCGGCAACTCACAAGGATTGATAGAGATTCCTGCCCCATCTCCTGTTTGCCTATCGGGAGGTGCCACAGGTATCGACTGGGTTCTCCTCGTTCGAACTGCCACGCCAGGGAACTGGCTTTGGTGTGCTCGGTCCCTGGGTGCGTTGGGCAGTAGCAGGCGTACTGTCTAGGGGACGGCTGCTCCGCTTTTGCACCCTCCTCTAGGAGGAGAAGGTGTATGTGGAATAGGAGGTTGAGGAGGCGGTGACCGTGGCGGCGACGACGCATTCGGATATCTGCCCTATCAACTTTCGATGTTACTTTCTGCTCCTACCATGGTGACCACGGGTAACTGGAAATCAGGTTTCGATTCCGGAGAGCTACCACATCCAAGGAAGGCAGCAGGTGCACAAATTACCCACTCCCGACGCCGGGAGGTAGTGACGATAAATAACAATACAGGATTCTTTCCAGGCCCTGTAATTGGAATGAGTACACTTTAAATCCTTTAACTAAGATCTATTGGAGGGCAAGTTTGGTGCAGAGCGACTGACCCGTGCGTGCTGCAGCTGAAACTCCACTATCGCCTGCTACTGCTCGCACAGTCTCTCCAGCATGTGAAAGGTGGAGTTCCACCTTGTGGGCACGTCGCATATGAGGCGGTGAGCGGGACATATAAATAAAGAAACATTTGCTGACTGCGGTGCATTTCTTGCAGTCCAATAACGCCATCAGGTTTTTAAAACTGTCCGTAATGACAGCATTTCAAAGGCCAGGAATTTTGAAATACCTGGCATTCAGGGCCAGGGATCGCGGGTGGGTAGGGCGGTACTTCCTCTTTCTCTCCAGTGTTTGGGAGATGGACAGCTGAATGCTTCCCTGGGACAGTGTGGAGATACTGGAAAATTGTGTACCTGGCCTATGATGGTGCAGGAACCCACCCTCCAAGCCACTTGTGAATGACTGGCCTGATAACCGTGGAAATAACCCCTCTTCCTCCTGTGCCACATCCTCTAACATTATTGCCCAAAGCGTTTTTTCAAGGAGACATAGAAGCGGGATAGTAAGGCTGAGAACGGCGTCAACGGCACTGGCCATGTTGGTGGAGTACTCGAAACAGCGCAACATGGCACACAGGTCTCGCATTGAGGCCCACTCATTGGTGGTGAATAGTGATGTCGCGAACTTGCCGCGAACGGTTCACCACGAACCGTTCTTGGCGAACTCCGGTCAGCTGACACATCCCTGCCAATCTCTGGCAGACCCTCCCTCCCAGACCCTCCCACCTCCAGGACAGCATCCATGTTGAAGCTGCCTTCAACATGGATGCTGTCCTGGAGGTGGGAGGGTCTGGGAGGGAGGGTCTGCCGGAGATTGGCAGGGATGTGTCAGCTGACCAGAGTTTGCCGCAAACGGTTCGTGGCGAACCGTTCGTGGCAAGTTCGCGAACGGTTCGCAAAATCACTAGTGGTGAAGTGGTGATGTTCCGCAGAGCGACTGACCCGTGCGTGCTGCAGCTGACACTCCACTATCGCCTGCTGCTGCTCGCACAGTCTCTCCAGCATGTGCAAGGTGGAGTTCTGCAGGCTAGAATTCACTCACCACTGGACCGCCAGGGATGATGAAAGAGTGCCAGTCCCCCCGCCTCTCTCCCAGGCTAAAGGTAAGAAGGGAGGGGGGGATATAATGCCTACTTTTTTATTTTTTATTTTTTAATTACCCCTCACCCTCCCCAAACACTCAATCCCTTCTAACATTCACACACATCACTCTCACACACAGCACTCTCACACCCATCACACATAGCACTCTCACACACATCACTCTCACACAGCACTTTCACACCCATCACACATAGCACTTTCACACAACACAGCGCTCTCACACCCATCACACATAGCACTCTCACACCCATCACACATAGCACTTTCACACAACACAGCGCTCTCACACCCATCACACATAGCACTCTCACACACAACACTCTCACACAAAACCAGCTCTCTCACACCCATCACACATAGCACTCTCACACCCATCACACACAGCACTTTCACACAACACAGCACTCTCACACATATCACACATAGCCCTCTCACACACTGGGAGAAAAATTTGTCCCGGGCATTTTTTTATCACAGCACCCCACTAAGAAGGGGGCGGGGCAGAGAGGGTGTGTTTCGTCATCACCAATGTCAAACACGCCCCCTCTCAAAGTGAGCATGTTGGTTCAATGCTCTTCCAGGGCAGATCATGCGCAGAACTCTGCTAAAGAGCTCTAGCATGAGAAAAAAAGCCCTGTATTTGTTTTGCACAGTGCAAGCACTCTCACATATAGCACTCTCACACCCATCACACACAGCACTTTCACACAACACAGCACTCTCACACCCATCACACACAGCACTCTCACACACATCACACACAGCCCTCTCACACATAGCACTCTCACACACATCACACACAGCACTCTCACATCCATCACACACAGCACCCTCACACCCATCACTCACAGCACTCTCATGCCCATCACACACAGCACCCTTACACACAGCACCCTCACACACATCATAAACAGCACCCTCACACACAGCACCCACACATCACACACAGCACCCCTCAAACACAGCATCCATCACACACACATACTGCACTCTTCACATACACATTACATCCCTCACAGACACCCACTGCACCCCTCACACATACACACTGCACCAAACACACACACACACACACACAATACTTCCCAACATATTTATATTATATCTAAAATAAAAATCAGGAAGTGGAGCGATGTTTAGGTGATGAGCCCCTACCCACATGCAATCAAAGATGAAAAATAGTAAAAAAAATGGATATACTTATACTCCTTAATGAGTAGTAGTTACGCACTCAAGAGCACAGGTAGCATGTAGAAGAAGAAATAAAAAAAAAAACAGTGTAATTCTGTATAATACTTATATAGATCGCACTTTTGTATATAGTGCTACTTTTCATATGTGATATAATTCATAGATTTGATAGTGAAAATAAACATTTATTCATACTAAAAATATAAAATATAAATTGTAAAATACATAATCAAATAAAAATAGCAAGCACAGTTAACAAGTGGCTGCTTACTAAAATTGATGGTGAGCACAATGGTATATGTCCGTGTCTCACAAGCATGCTGCCACTCACTGAGAGATGTCGGAGATAGGCGGAGTATCGGTGTGTAGGAATCCGGATTGCAAGTTCAGGCTTTATGATAGAACTGCTATTTCGAAACTCCCGGTTTCACCACTTGGCTCCTCCCACTGCAGACGCGTGCTGACGTAGTCTACGCGTTTCGCCGTACTAGGACGGCTTCGTCAGGATGTAATGAAGCTGTTACAAGCTGTATGGGTAAGGGCAACGCCCACAGCTTTATTAATGATTATTGCCAGCGTCCACAACCTGTCAGCTGTTGGGGGATTACCATCAGACAGCTCTATCAAATGAAGCCAGCAGCCTGCCCCTGCCGTCAGCTCTCAGTAGGCTGCGACTCCCCAAGCCGCTTGGGCACTTCCTTCCAATTGTCTTCGCTGGCCAGGACTACCGCCATCGCGATGCCTCTCTAACTGTCCCCTTGGGAGGCACCGCGCCCCCTCGCAGCCAGCGCCTCCTCGATACCCGCCTCTAGTCTGGAATTCAGGATATCTAAACCTATAAGAGAGAGGTGACCTGCTGCGCCCTAGGTCATTACCCCCCGCGTGGATAACTAAGGTCACTGGCCCCGACACATACCTCCAAAGGGACACACACTCAGAGTACACTTGTTGCCACAACATACCCCTAATATCCCTCCACCTTACCCTGGCTACCTCATAGGGGAACCCCAAATTTCTGCCATAGGAACGCTCCTCCGCTTGCCGTGCTGCCCAGTATACGAAGGAATGACCCAATATTCAAACACAGCGAGGCCGAGGACCTAGGAAGAAATAAACGTTATAACAAATGAGGCCTGACATATGACCTGTAGCGATGAGAGCACCATCTACCCAACCGCTGAATTGCTGCAGCAGATAACCCCAACAAACTAGCCTGAGTGGCTGCCCCTATGCGAAATGAGTGAGCTGAGTACTGCCGCGAATCCAACCCACACTGCGCCAACGCGGCCCGAAACATTGCCGTAAACTGATAGCACGTCACGGGAGTCCCGTCGCTATGAACCAGCAAGGGAAGATACGCCAACAACCTCCTCAGTAAATATGCCAAGAAAAGCCTAACCAGGCAAAACCCCCCACCAGTCGCACCGATACGAACCCATTGACCGCCTGATGAAAACGTCCACGAAGTCCTCAGCCCACCGGATGAACGCCAACAGAAGCGGACCGACAGACGTTCGGTCGCGGGAGACCAATTCGCCCACGCGAAAGGCCCCAAGGAAACAAAATGAAGATGTAACCCAGAATAGCAATACCTCGTATTCCGAGAACCCAACGCCGACTGAATCCGCCCTAGCAAGTCGGCTGACACCGGGCAGCGGCAGTCCGGGGCCCTCCTAAGCCTCCAACCCCGGATCACTCGCTGGATACCAAACTCCCGAGAAACGTCTCGCCAACCCATAAACCTACATAGAAAATACTTTTCAGCCGAGGAGCAAGACTTACCCTGTTCGAGCATCGCCTCTAGCATTGTCAGGGTTGCCTCCAGGCATCCCAACTCAGACCCCAGCACCCGACTCTGCAAGAACATGGCCAGCCACTGGCGCCAGACCGCTTGATATGATCTCCAAGAAGCGTCCAACAAGGAGTCTCAATCCTCCAAATCGATCTCCCATAAGGAGTCCGGACAGCTGAGAAATTGAACAGCCCATGGGCAAACACATGTCATAGTATACAACCCCATGAAAAGAACAACCTAGCAAGTGAAAGCAGGAGGGGTGAACCGGCAACAGACGAAAAGCCGATGCTATGTCAGATTTTGCCAACAATGCGCCGGGCCCTGCACGGTGCACCAACTCTAACGCCCTGTCGAATGATGCATAGCGCACTCGACAAACATCTTTCCCAATGTCATCGTTAGCTGAACCTCCTGACGGATAAGACAGATGGTGTATCAAACAAAAGGAACCAGGTTCCTTCTTAGGAACCAGCCCCAAGGGAGAAATGCGTAAATTAGAAAAGGGGGAAAAGGAAAAAGGGGCCTGCCATGCGACCCGCTTGGACCTCTTCGTCTAACTTGTCCTGCATAATATCTTCCTTGCCCTTAACCGAGCGGAGATTGTCCGCAAACTGGAGCAATGAAGAAGGAACAACGGAATCCAAAAACCCACCATCGCGAACTCTATGATACCAGGCGAGCCAGGGGCGCATCCTTAGGACGTCAACTGGCGTCCTCTCCCCTAGGAATGTCGTCTCGAGAAGGACCCTTCCCGGTGACCGGTTTCCCTTTCCGGAAGCAGCGCGTAGCTGGGTGT